GACACGCAAATCAAGCTTCACGCCGTCACTTCATGCCTGCTTACAACAACGTCCGGACATATCGACCGCGCGGGAAAAGTGGCCGCGAAGGAGCCATGACACTACTCGGGTGGCACATCATTGGCCAAGAGTGCATCTCGGGATTTTGTGGTGATCATTTTTCCACGCAGACTTTATTCTCGCTCCTTGCGTTCTGATCTCAACGACACACGACAGACAGCTCCGCTTTGACTGTAGCGTGACCTCGCTCCGAACCTCAGGACGTGACCTCGACTTGAACTTCCTCGGCGACGGAAAATAATACGTTACACCTTTGCAGACAAAGAGCCGACGACGCTGCGCATGGCATCTTTGAGCTGACTTGCGGTTTCACACCCGAGTCCTGTCCGAACCTGCTCGAAACAAAAGTGCTGCCGCGGCGATTCTGAAACAGAAGCGCTGAAACGCTTCTTAGGAAAATGAAACTGCTGCAAGTGATCCAGGAAAAACCAAAGTGAAGGATCCGTCTCAGTTGAAGACGACGCCCTGCTTGGAATCTATAAGACTCGTCTCGAGATGTTCCTTTTGCGCATTTGTGCCCTGATCACAACCATTGTGCCCCGAACGTTCACATCACATCTTCTTGAAGAAACTTCTCCATTTCCAGCCTCTGATTTCACACCTCAACTCAGCCCGAATTCAAACGAGCACGCACGCGGAGGACGGCGAAAGGATCCCGCCGTGACCGCAACATGGTCTCCCTCCGCGCCTCCAACAACAGCAAGAAGAGCGAGCAAGAAGGAAAGAGTGCGTACAAGACAGAACATGTCCACATTTGGGGATCATTTTACACCTAAGAAAAGAAGGCCCAAGTTCGATGTCCAATGTTGGAAAGTCCAATGAGAAAGAGTGACAAGAATGACCTGAGCACATCAGGCCTTTTTTTTAAATTTATGGGCAGCACACGCAACTGTTTCTGGGATCAGCACTCGAAAAGCGCAGTTCAATGTGGATTATTTGAAAAGTGGTTCCAGCGGTAATTCACTCCCGACTGGCATGTCTTCACGCGAACAAAAAGCGCAGCGGAGCGCGTCACCTCGCCGAAGGTGGAGTAGTCCAGCTCGATGAGTTCGAAGGCGGCCAGCAGCTCTCCGGCCGGCATCCTGCCCATGCTGATGTCGTAGAAGCGCAGACGGGGCTTCCGGTAGAGCGCCTCCGCGGGTTTCAACTCGGGCTCGGCGTACGCTCGGCCCAGAGGCTTCGGGCTACCCTGCGCGCATTTTCTCGCACGTTACGACATCGCTTCACCGCTCGGCCAAGGGGGAGAACGGCATTACCACGGCGTCGTAGTCCAAGATGTGGACGATGACCAGGGGGGGGTCTTGACCGAGGTCCTCCATCGTTCCCTCCAGAAGGACGCGGTCGAAGAGCAAACACTCGCCCCACGCCGGCGACAGCGTGTCTGGGGACACCTGAGGCGCGCGCGTCCAATAGCGGTGAAATTCTTTGGACATTTTTATTGAGTTGGATACGCGCTGGACATCGCTGGCAGTTTGAACAAAAACAAAAGTTGTTTGTGATCGTTACTCGTACGTTGCGATCGGACTCACCTTGGTCACCTGACACTGCGTGGAGAAGAGCACCTTGGCGAAGGGATCCGATAGGCCGTTGTCGTCGCCCGCCATTAAGCCGCGCGCTTGGTAGAGGTGACATCGGAGCTGGAAGTAGCGACTGTCTGCAAACGCAACATACCACGTCTACTTTGCCACTTGTGTGGGGAGAAAAAAATTTAAAAAGTTCATCGTTTGTAACACTTAAGTCACCATAACGATTTTTTGAAAGTTGTTGGGTGAGACAAAATCTCAAAGAAAAGAAAAACTTCATTGAAGTATTATTTAAGTATTTTTTTTATGTGAATATTATTTGAAATAAAAAGTGTGATACCGTGCAACATTCAAACGTGGTTAGAATTCAAATCTTTAAAAACATTGAAAATAAAAATGGGTGGTGTATCATTTACTTTTTGTTACATTTTTACAAAAAAAAAAAATATATATATATCAGAGAAATTTCAATCAACCTTTTTTTCTTATTTGGAAAAAATGAATAAAGAAAAAATGGGATGATATGGATTCATGATTCTCAATTCCCAAAAAATTCCCACACCAAATTTTCATGAAACTTTTTTTTTTTTTTAACATTCAACAAATAAAATTAAAAGTCGGATATCCGATAAATTTTGCTCCATTTTTGTCTTCAATTCAAAAACAAATGATACTTTCTCCTATCCATGTTAGAAGGAGACTTTGCGGGGGCCAATAAAAAAAAAAAAACCCGGCGGGCACCACCCCTGAACTCGAAGCCTCAGTCGGACTCACCCTGACAGCACAGCCTGATGGGCATCCTCCTGGTTGCCGTGACGACCGGTGCCGCCTCCTCCTCCCCCGACTCCTCGTAGACGGGCAAGAACTCGTCTGGGAGCGAGGTGATGGCTTCCTTGCTGTACTTGGCCTGGCCCAGCCACAGGTACACCTCCAGCTTGGCGAAGATCTCGCTGGCGGAACTGCCCGGAGACTAAAAGTCACGAGACGTGGACGGTCTGTCATCCATTTGATTGGTCGACAGACCAAATGATTGTGGTTGACATGTCTGGAACGAAGCCATTTTGGACCATTTTGCTGAGGTCCTTCAAAAACGAACTGGTCCTAAAACGATTTGAAATTCAGCCACTGAAGCTAATTCAGCGGCTGCCATTTTGGTTTGAAGCGGGCCGGTTTATACTCAATTTGGCCATTTGCAGAGCTCCTTAAAAAGACGAAATGTTTTGAGAATTCGCTCTCCAAAGGGCAGTTTCGTTTGGCAACAGGAAACGTACGGGAGTATGATGACGTTTTCGATAATTCTAGTTTTGGCGACAGACCTTCATGTAGAGTGTGGTGACCCGACCACAATCCCGCCCCCTCTGGTCCTCCACCAGTGAGAAGATGACGGAGTGGGCGGGGATCCTGACATAGGCCAGTCGTTTGCTTCCACTCAGCAACCACAGGAAGACATCCGGGATGGTGTTCTGGGGCTGGTCGCAGATCACATCAGAGGGGGTCAAAGCTCATTGCGACTCCGTTGTTGTCATTAATATGAATTGTCGTATGAGCATTACGAAGACGCGACTTTTACGTTGTACCTCTTTGGCCAGGTGTCGAAGTTTGCTCAGGAGTTTTTTAACGCCCGTCAGGTGCTGTTTGAGTGTCCGCCTGGTTAGCCTCTGCTTGACCCTCATGGCCCGTCTGGCTAGCATAAGCTACACATCATGTGACCACATTCAGAGAAATGAGCGGTTCAGAGACACGTCAACGAGTCATGTCACTGACAGAAACAAACGAGAGAAATTTTCTGGTTCTTATGTGAGCACAAATGAGAGTTGACAAAGTAACCGCAGATAAAGCACTCATGAAAATTCATTGGAATTACTTTGCCGCGTATTGATTTTGGTCATTTTGCAGGTTCAATTTCACATAAAACACATTGTCAAAATGGCAGATCTGTAAAGCTCTCATCAAGACCTTTCGTTTCGGAAAGCACTCTTTTGATTTTGTTGCAAATGGATTTTTGACCCGACCACTCACATTGTTGGTCATCTTATAAACATCAATGAACGATATAATGGTTGATATGGAAAGCTCTCGCTGTGTTCTTTCATTTACGTTATGTCGCCATATTCTTTACAAACAGTTCTGTTAAAAAAAAACAAGTGCCTCACCAAATTCTTCTTGATGAAGTCTTTCCTGCGTGCATCCAGATTGTTGGGACGAAACTGCGCAAGGCGGTTTGAGGACAGTCTGAACTGTCTTTATGAAAACAATTAAGAAAATTAAACACATCTTTGGAAAAAAAAAACACCGCACACATTTTGAAGCAAACTTGCTCCAGGCGCTCACTGACTTGCAGGAAGTGACCAGCTCCAGCAGCACGTGCACTAGACGCTCCTTCACGTTGGTGCGGGGCCTCCGCCCGAGACGCTCCACCTCATCCAGACCGATCTCCTGAAACCGTCCCACAAATGAGCCCGCCGCGCATTACGCCGACAATCTACAAGTCAACCCGGCGGCCGGCTCCACCCCGTGTCACCTCACCAGCCTGTCGGCCATCTTGCTGAGCCAATTTGCCTGGTACAGCCGAAAGCTGTGGTCTTCGAATTGACTCCAGACAAACAAACACGGCTTGTTTTTCTCCCAGGGCGCGTGCAGGGGTATGCATTGAAACGACCTGGCACGCGGGTGAGACACAAGCGGGATACAATATCCTGTAAGTGACATGGGTGAGATACATTTGAGAAACACGTGACACACTAGTGAGATTGATTGCACGCAGGTGACAAACAGGTGAATGGGGCGCAAGCGAGGCGTCGATGAGACTGGAGCCAGGTGACGAGCAAATTAAACACAGGTAAGACGTGGGTGAGATGACAAGTGACACACGGGAAACACACACAAGTGTGACAGGAAGGAGGGTTCCATCCAGGTGAGAGGGACGTGATTCATAAGTGAGGTTTCAGTGACGCATGGGTGTGGAACAGTGAGAAACAGGTGACAAACAAGCAGCGATATCGGGATGAGATCTGGGCCCCATACCCGTCTAACAGGTAGCACAGGTGAGACACAGGCGAGAGATTCGGGTGAGACATGGTCGCGACGGTCCCGTATCCACGCCTCACGGAATCACGGCGACAGGCGACACAGCAAGAGACAAACCGGAAGCGAGTCCCGACCTGTCGTATTCGGTGGGCTGCGGTCTCATGGGCTCGGACACGGATCTGTTCTCAGGTTCTGGACTCAGAACCGCCTCCCTGTCCAGTTCTTCCTCCGACTCCAGAAGCCCTTGGGCCTCCTCGCCGAGATCGTCCCGGCTTTGCCTCAGCTCCTCCCGGCTGTGTCGCGCCTCCTCCCGGCTTTGGCTCTTCTTGGATCTCCCGGCTGTCACCGCCTTACCACGATTTCCTGCCGTGACCACGATTTTACAACTTGGTGTTTCTGCTGTTTGTTCGCTCATTCCACAGGTCGTGCTTTTTTTACCAATGGAAAGTTCAAAGGTCATGGGCCTGGTGCCGACAGACGGATCCATCATGGTAACTTCAAACAAAGACGCAAAGAGCAGAAAGTCTTCTCTCTCACCCAGGAAACCCTACGCAAAACAAAAACACAAACCCCAATCTGTTTACACCTGTCGCAGCTGTGTGCTGTGGTGTACCTCTGGGCTCTGACCTAAGTCCCCACTGCTAAGAATTGCTTCGATGTTTGTTTTGATTAAAATGAATTTCTTTTGACAGATTGAAGATGGAAATGAGGTTACTTTTCCAGCGCTAACCTCAGGCAGTGGGTGAATCTCCTCCACGTCCACAGTCACCGCCTCTGGCACCTCCACTCCCGCCTCCCCAGACTCATCGCCTAATTGGCTGGAAACTACGTGCAAAAAAAAAAAAAAAACAATGCAACAATTTTGAGTGTCAGAGGGAAAGTTGAAGGATCTTGCTTTCGACCAATCAGAGCCGAGAAAAGCGAATCCTAATCAGCTAAGAGAACCAATGAAAAAAGCTTCTTGAGCGATCATCATATTTTTTTAGGTGATAAAGATTTTTTATTTCTTCTTCTTGTTGTTGTTTTTTTTAATCGAATACGTTTACCAAATAAAACCGTATTTTCTGAGAAATAAATTGAAATCTTGCAAGAAAAAAAGCTTGAACGTGACGAGAATAAAGTCTTATCGGGTTCAAGAAAGATGGCATCATTTTGACTTGCGTCGGATCAATTGCCGTCCTCACCTTCCTTCCTTTTTTCCTTCTTGCTGCCTCGCTTCTTCCTCAGTCCCAACCTGCTCAAGGTTCCTTTCACCTTCAAGAGAATCACAATACCGAGTGACAGCAGACTCAGACCGAGCAGTCCCGAAGAGCGTCCTGATGGATCACAATGGACGAGATGGATTCCGGTACCATCGCTAGCGGGGCCGAGCCGGAGTCTGTGGCGACGGCCAGTGGTGAGGAGTAAATCTCGACAGACAGCGCCAGGAGGATTCGACCACGGTAAAAGATTCCCTCTCCAAGGCCCTGGTTCAAAGCCTGGCGAAGACAACCGACGGTAGGCTGGAGTAGCAAATCCGGTTTGGATTGTTTGAGTCTGTTCTCGGGACATTTGGAGCCGGGAGAAACCTCCATGACGGTAGGCTGGAGTAGCTTCAATCCGGTTTGGATTGTTTGAGTGTGTTCTCGGGACATTTGGAGCCGGGAGAAACCTCCACGGAGGCAATTCCACAAGCGATTGATTACCTGGTGGACGTCTCCGAGGGTGGAGTTCCGAGGAGAACCGTATAGATTGACCCAGCATGGTCCAAAGGTGGGGTTAAAACCTGCGGGACACACGCATTTCCACGTTGAAGAATTGTTAAAGGAGAGACCGCAATCCGTCAGTTTCGCGCTTGTACCGTTCCTTGTGGGGTCTGAAATTTGCTGCAGGTCCAGGAAGTGCGTGGCCAGAGCGACGTCCCCCATCTTGGCGTCGTCAAGGACCTGGACTCTGATCCGCTGGGCGAGGGGAGGAAACTGCTCGATGAAGGAGATCTCCTCGTTCCAAACCGGACAGCTGGTGGCACTCGCGACAGACGTCTCACCCTAGGAGAGACCGGTCCACTTTGAACGCAAAGTTGCGGACCCGAATGACCTGTATGGTGCCGGCGTACCTGCTGTCCGGCAAAGGTGACTTGAACGTAAGGATCGATGAAGACCCTCCGGTCAGTGACTTTGGACATTTTGGCCATCAACCCCGCGTCCATGGTGGGCAGGCCGTCTGCCTTGTAGACCCGCACTCGAAATCGAGCCCACGGGCGATCGGAAGGCATACCGCGGGGAAGCATCAGATTTCTGTGGGGAACGCGTTCAATTAGGGCTGCCCAAGGAAACCTTCCGGATTTCGCACCTTGCGTCCATCCAGCTTTGTACAAAAATGACCTCGTGTCTTTTCAGACTACTCATGCCGAGCAAACTTCCCGCTACTAATTGACTGAATTTTTGAAATATTCCGTCCGGACAAGTTCATCTTTCAAAGATGTCTGGATATGAGCCAAAATGATCCTAAAATGGCCGCTTCAAACCAAAATAGCAGACCCACTGTGTCTGACATTTTTTGTGGGTCTACTTAAGATAGATACAGCATGTCTACCAAATTGCATGTTCCGAAGCCAAATTGGCTTCAGGTGCAGAATTTTCAAAATATTTTGGCTGGACAAGTTGGCTTTTGATGTGCCCTGCAGGTGTCCAAAAGGCCGTTTTAAACCAAAACAGCAAGCTCTTTGTGTCTTTTTAGGCACAGCTTCTTGAGACTTTTTTGTGGGTCAACTCATGACCGACATATCCGCTATTTCATGTAGCTAAGTAAAACTGGCTTCAGGGGCCGGAATTTCAAAATATTCTTCATCAACTTGAAGGAGCATGATGGGAAAAAAACGTCCAAAATAACCAATCACAGTTTGAGCAGAAAGGGTAGATTGCCAACTTTTTAAAGCAAGGCTTCTTACATTTTTATGCGGGTGTACTCATGAGAGACATGGCTACCCAATTTCATTTAAAACTGCCTTGGGGGGCAGAATTTTCCAAATAGTTTTAAGATTTTGAAGGAACCGTGGAAATTGCTAAATTGAACCGAAAATGTCCGCTTCGAACCAAAATGTCTTCTGACTTGCTGTGCCTTCTTGAGACTTTTTGACGGGTCTTGATCGCGGATGTCCGGTTGCTTCGTGAAACTCGCTTCGGGGGTTGAAAAATGCGGACGAACTGACTTGTCGATGTCGTCGTTGGCGCCGGACGTGGCGGGCGGCAGGCCGGCGTTCAGAGCCTCGCCTTTCATCAGCACGCTGAGGGTGGCCTTCACGTAGCCTTTGGCCCCCGATCGGGTGTCAGCCGGGTCAGTGAGCGGGGCCCACTTCTCGTAGAAGCGGTGGTCTGCAAATGAGTCGAGCGCTCATGCGGGCCCGCGGGGCACGCCTGCGCTCGTTTGACCGTACCTGGCTCATGGAACACGGTGGCAATGTCGATCTTGAAGGTTCCCACGTGGCTCGTGAGGAAGGGCAGGGTTCGGCGGTGGTACACCTGCAAGGGCGGACAGTTCGGGACAGTTTTGGCGGCCTGTCACCATGGAAACGAGCCAGCGATTACGGCGGGGCCGACCTTGATCTCGATAACCTTGTCAAAGAGAACCTCTGGAGTTTCATGGAACTCAAACTGGAAGTTCTGCAACAGGAATTGAGAACAACGCATTGTGTCTCGATTGGGTTTTCGCGCATGGCAACGTGTTTTAATGCGTTCGACTGCAGGGTTTTTGTTGTGTTCTATTGTCGGTTGTGGTGTGTGGTGGCCTCGCGTACTTCATTGTAAAAGGGACAGTTGGTGGACTTTTGCGTGGCCGTGTGTTTCTTCTGATCCCCCACTCGGATGAACACGGCTGGGTTGATGTTGACGCCCGCCAGTTTCTGCGCTTCCAAGATGTTGACGTTGACCTGCAATCAGCCAATCACGTGTATTCGCAGCTGAACATTTCCCGGAACTCTTCAAAGGAGTATCTGAGCAGGCCAATCTTTCAGCGCTCAGATATGAGGACCTTTAGTAGCTACATATAGGAAGGAAATTCGGGCAATACTGTCGTCCCTACCTAGTAGTTTTTGAGCTACTATTCCTGGAGTGGGCCCTTCTTTTAGCCCCAGTTAATTAGCCCAAATTTAGACAAGTTTAAACCTGGACTTGTGAAAATGACTTCGCCTTTTTTGGTGGCATTCTTACCTGGAAACTTTGAACCCTGGGCGTGGCTGCAGCAACATGCCGAGACAGCGGCCTGGAACGACTGCACACATTTACGCACACACATGCTTCTTTACTCCCAAAGATTTGTATTTTTGGACATGTGTGTCTATGCTAGCGATGTCAAACAACAGGCATGACAAATCGAATCTCTTCCACCAGACAGAAGGTCAAGAACTAATCGGCATTCATTTAAAAAAGAAATCTGTACTTCGATTGAACATGACAAATAGTCAAACGCAGAAATGCGCAATGAAAACACTCTCGCCGACCTCATCAAAGGAGTGAAGACGATATCAGACATCTCCATGTCCAGCAGGTCGTCTTCGTCGTCGTCGTCGTAGTCGTCGTAGTCGTCGTGGTCGCCCTGACCGCGGATGAGGTCGCGCCCCAGTTGTCGGGCCTCCCTCTCCAGCTCCCTCTCCAGACGACTCAACATCGGTGGGCTTGGTCAGGATAGACCAGATTGGTTTTGTCCGTGTGGTGGTGCGACGTGCGTGCGCGTTCATGCAAGTGTGATGTGAAGTCCCTCTCACCTCTCGTCATTTTCAAAGGCTTCATTCTGGAAGCCCAGCGATGAGCTGAGCAACACAGATTCAAAAAAGAAACACACGCAGGATTAAAATGAACTACCTATCCAAAGAACAAATGAATGAAACAACTCACAAAAACACTGATGAAACAACTAACTAAAGAGGGAATGAACTAACAAACTAAGCAACAAGTACAGCAACCTATTCATTTTAAAAAATGACGGTAACTAACTGGGTGACTAAATCACAATATAACAGGAAAAAAATTAAAAACAAACACATAATAAAGGATGGAAAAAGTAACTAACTAACAAAACAACCAACTCACTGAACAATGAAATCACGAACTAATTAACTGACTGAGTCGCCAGCTAGTAAGCTAGTAAACTAACTGGCATGCCAAAGAATGAACAGAGCAACTGACATACTCAACAAATATCAACAAACTCAGACAAATCAACCGAACAAAAAAATCCGCGTCACTCGTCACACAAGAAAGACAGACAATGGCGTGATTTTGCAGACGAAAAACCAAAACGCCAAGAAAAGCTTGATCTGTGTGATTTTGAATTCTGCCTAGCGACAAGTGACCTCATACAAGTCCATCCAACCCGAGACATTCTGACTTTTTTAGTTTTTCCGCTTGACTTCTTACTCATCTTTGTCCTCCACTCTGATGAAGTCCTGTCCCTCCCATCCTCCTGCGGCGCCCTCAACTGGATTGTAGCGCACGTCCAACTCCACGTAGATCTACTCGCCGGACAACAGGATTATCACACATACACACACACACACACACACACAGATGCACACTCAAGTACTCACATCAGTCAGGAGATGGTTGGCATCGGTGAGTGGTTCCCGTAGCAACAGCCTCCCTGATGTGATGATGTGCTGGAGACCCACAACCAGCTTTCCCAGCAGTCTACACACACAAACACGCATGCACAAAAGTAAATAGTTAAGTAACTTCCATTAAATATCTGGCTAAAGGAATTTAGAGATAAGAACACTGTAAGGGGATGCCAAAATGTTGCGCTGACCAGCATATAACTCATATAAGATTTACCCCAGCATAATTGGATGGTACTTTTAAACATTGGTGCAGCAGTGGAACACTTTGCAAAAAAAAAAAAAACATGTCTCGAATGTTCATGCGGCACTACGGTTGAAAAAATATCTACTGTGTGCGTTAAGCAAAGATGGGAAAAGGTAACAGGAAAGTTTTATCCCATGAAGACTGGTTAAACCATGAAACATTTGTCAAACTATAGCGATCACCTCAAGTTCTGATCTGTGGAGGGATTTACTTGGAAAAATCCTCGGTGTGCGTGCGTGTGTGTGTGTGTGTGTGTGTGTGTGTGTGTATATATACATTACCTGTTGGAGAAGACTTTACTGAAGTTGTAAACTCTGATGGTCAGCACTTCATGTCGGATGACTTTACCATAGTGAGGCCAACGGAAAGACTGCATACACACACACGCGCGCACAAACACGCATTGAAGGTCACGCCCGGAGTTCACTTGAAAAAATATTACAATGATTATTTTTCAACACATCGGCCAGGAGGGCAACTGGTTAGCACATCTGCCACACAGTACGGAGGTCATGGGTTCGATTCTGGGCCGCGACCTTTCAGTGTGGAGTTTGCATGTTCTCCCCGTGCCTGCCTGGATTTTCTTCGGGTACTCCGCTTTCCTCCCACATTCGAAAAAACCTGCACCGTAGCGTAATGGGACACATTTGTCCTGAGGTGAGATTGTGAGTGTGAATAGTTGTTTGTCCTTGTGTGCTCTGCGATTTTATGGCAACCGGTTTAGGTTGCGACTGCCCGAAGACAGCTGGGATAGGCTCCAGCATGCCCGCGAGCCTCGTGAGAATAAGCAGATTAGAAAACGGACGGACGGATGGATGGATGGATGGACAACAGCCAGGGCAGGAGAAGTGATGTCATCTTATCTGATTGTGACATTCCAAGTCACTGTTTTGTGTAAACGGCGGATACTATTCTTTCTGGCTCCAGTTCATTCCGGATTCATTCCACATCATCCATTACTGCTGGGATGCAATCATGCGCCACTTGAGCTTTCTCTCTCTGCGTTAAAGGGGCTGCGCGGCACGCCGGTCTTACGGCTCTGATAGTAGAGCATGAGCTGTAGAAACATGAATTTGAGGCATTTCGTGTGTGTGTGCACGCGTGCGGGTTTGGGGAGCAAGGGTAGGAAATTCCTGTCAGTTGCATTGAAACAGTTTCAATCGGAAGCCAACAACAACCATGACAACCACACACACAGACACACACACCGCATGATATCATCATTCATCTGCGCTCTGACGAGACTGACCTCATTGAAAAAGGCCACACCATCACTCTGCACCACTCTGGTTCTCTGGGTGAATCCTGCCGGATGGACAACAAAACTTGTCACCATGGCAATAGCAAAAAATAGATAGATATACACACAGACGGAATTGTGAGAAGGAGGAGAGAAAACATTTTTCCAAAAAGAACGAGCCATGTGGACCAGTGACGCCCCAAAGCATTTTGGGGTGTCTTCTTTTTCTCTTTCTCAAGCAGACAACTGACCTCTAAAGGAAAGCTCCACTCTCCGCTGGGATCCTCCCGGCAGGTTGGAGACCTTCCTTACGTTCACGCTGATGGACATGGTGAAGGACCAAGGCGACGGCGTCCGTCTACATGTCTCCCGATGTCAACATCAGCTCACAGTGACTGAGTGAAACGCTGCAGTTTGGTGTTGGCGTGCCGGTTAGGGTTGGTCCTGTCCAATGTCATGTTTGACCAGGCAACGATACTTGACTGGCTTGACTAGTTTCCTCCTTTGACTATGCACACACACGCGCACGACAAACATGACATGTACTGCGGAACCGCCAAAATGGAACACAATCCCTTCTGTGATTCCACTGAGCTTCCACGTTGTTCACTTTGAAGTGAATTAAGTGCGCAATATAATTCTAATCAAGCAACATTATGGGAGTAGTGTTTTTACGAGAATCGTTATTTGTCCTTGTGTGCCCTGCAATTGGCTGGCAACCAATTCAGGATGTATCCCACCTGCTGTTCGAAGTCAGATGGGATAGGCTCCAGCACGTCCGCGACCCTCGTGAGGATAAAGCGGTTCAGAAAAGGGATGGACGGATATTCGTAGTTATGGTTTGAAAACAGGTTTCATGTTTCAAGCCGGAGTTAGGGATTCTCTGAAGGTTTTTTTTTTTTAAAAAACACAAATTATTGTTCTTTTGTTCCAATATATATATATATATATATATACAAGAAAAGATAAGAAAACCTTTATTTGTCTCACAATGGAGAAATTCCCAATTTACATATACATATATATAAAAATTAATTTGGTGTATCTTGAAAAAGTTCTCTAATATATATATATATATATATATATATATAATCGCGGATTTTTTCAAACATAAAAATATATATATATATATATATATATTTTTTAATATATGCACAGAATTTGAATGACACGAATAAATAATAATTACTGAATAATACGTCACCGTTGAGTCGTCGGCAGTTGCCGTGGCAGCGCTGACGTCAAAGCCCCTGCCGGGAGCCTCGGAAACCCCTGAGTGGCGTCGTCATGGATACTGGCGGGGTGGAGGGGTGTGGCTTAGAGGAAGCGGAAGTGTCAGCGCAGGCGGAAGTGGTACTGCCCTGAATCCCCTGAGCAGCGAGAGGAGGACGGCTCGACCAAGCCTCAGCGGCCACAGCAGAAAATCGCCAAATCTCCTTCCTACCTGACAAACGTGAGTTGACGACATTCTTACTCGTCATACGCCGGCGGCAAGCGTCTCGCTTTGCGGGGGCGCGATCCGCGAACGGCGGCCGCTTTCGCCTCCTCCTTGGCGGAAGGTGCCCATTGTGGTTTGGGGCTGGCTGCGAGGATTTAGGCCGCGTACGAACAAATTAACCCCGCAGCGACCCGCTTCGACTTCATCCGAGTACCGCGACGTATCGGCCCTTTTTCCGCCTCACTCGCAGTTGAGTCCGCTTGGGCGGCTGTTGGTCGACGCGGGAGTCGCCGATGAGCCGTGTCGTTTTTTTGACAGCTTAGCCGCGCTGGCTCGTCCGTCGTAAGCGGCGACGTTTTGGCGTCGCCTCGCTGTGAGCGTCTGCGAGCTGCGTGCGTCGGGGGAAACGGCCGACCGGCTCGGTCTGGGCGCTGGAACCCGTCCAATCACCCACCAGAGAGCTCGACGATCAAGTCGCCCCGCTGCTCCGTCATGGCGTGGGCTAACACGCCCTCCTTCCCCAGGAGTTCGCCTCGCTCCTCTTCCCGTCTTCCACAATTCTACTCGCTGGTTTGATTTGGCTCGATTGAGGCGCGTTTCCGGCCAAATGCCACGTTCGGACACCCTTCGCGGGTGTGTGCGCCGCCGATGGGTTCGATGAAAAGTGTCCGATCGAAGTGGCTCGGCGTCCGGCTAGCGTGCTAGGCTAGCCTCCATTTTAAAATTCCACAGGGGAGTGCGACGACGACAAGGAGGGCGGAACTGCTAGCAGGCCCGGCTAAGAAAGTCGCAGCCTGCGGTAACGCTCGCCAGCCGCGACAATTTCTCCGCCCCCCCGGCGACCATTTAAGCCTCTTTTGCTACAGCCTCGCTTGGAATGAAGCCACGAACGGGGTCGCCGCCCTTCACACTGCAAGTCCAACCGCGCGTTTGGCTTGTTTGCTCGCTCTCGTGTTAGCGCATTAGCGTGGAGGGGTGGGGGCGGGGGGCGCGGGGGACCACCACTTTGGTCGTTTCCAAACTTGTTTCAATGGAAGTCACCGTCAGTCTTATTTTGAATGGTGGAAAACGTGTTGATTGTCAAAAGGGGACTAAAAGCGATTCAGGGATTGATTGATCACGTGATTCACACGATAAATCTCTATTGAATATAAAATAAACTCTATGGATGAAGGAAGATGAATGGCCACAGATAATGGATGGATAAATTACAGATGCATGTTTAGATAAATGAGGAGATGCTTGACTTTTTTTCTCCCGAGGGAAATTGTCACACAAATACTCTTGTATGATGTGTACAACTGTGACAAAGTACCAGAGCTGCAAAAGGACTAGCTAGCCAACCATTTTTATTTGTTAAATTCAAAATGCATAGCAGCAAACTATATTGTGGGTGATATTCATCAAATTCAGGGCCCTTGTGTTGGGCTATGGGACAACTGAACGATATAGCAGCACATCTCACTTGTTTGTTAAAAAAAAAAAAAGGATCAATAGGAACTGCAACTTTTTCAGGCTGTCAGCATCAAAGTGTGCAGATTCAATTTAAACGACGCAAGTGCCTTTACAAACAAGTCTGAGATTGAAATGATGATTATTCGTTGATTCCAGTACTCGACTACTCCAAACCATCATGGCCGTTCATTCCTGCGCGTTGAACACTTGTTCTTGTCAAGTGCAAACTGACCTTCTAAATATGTGAAATTGAAGCTTCTCGCATTTTCATTCTCTGACGGCCGCACCTTTTCTGCCACGCATCTTTCGAGTCATTCAAACAGTCGCGATAAGCATTTCCCTTATCTTTTGATCCTATTTTTATCTTATTTTCATCACTTAACTGGTCCAACCTGGGCTCTTGGAATTGTATTTCATGCCACGTCATGTGGAAACGTGTGTTGGTATGACAACAAAAAAAAAGTCATTGGATCTGTGTCCTTGAATTTTTCAGGAAAGGACATTTTCACGAATCCTTAAAAATTCAACTTTGAATATAACTTGAAAGGACAACGAGAAGTCCGAAAGTCAAATTAAGACGTGCTAAAATAATAGCGATGGGGGGGGGGGCAAAAAAGAAAATAGCGGTTGTCCCGCGCCCTTTGTCCACTGGGGGGCAGTGTTGCTGCGCATGGATGGAGTGCACGCTTGCAATGAGAGCAGAAGCAGCGATTGGACTTTTTGAGGTGGGGAAAAAAAACCCGAGAGTTGTAGTGAGAAGTCCAATCTTACGCATTCGTCGTCGGGTCGTCGATCACCTTTCACGAACCTCCACAACGTCGTCCGCAGCCGCGAAATGGACAGGAACGACCTGGTGCAGAGCGCCAAGATGGCCGAGCAGGCCGAGCGCTACGACGACATGGCGGCCACCATGAAGCAGGTGACGGAGCAGAACAAGGACCTGACCAACGAGGAGCGCAACCTGCTGTCCGTGGCCTACAAGAACGTGGTACGACTCCGGCCGCCTTTGCGTGGGCTCTCCCTTGCGCTTGGCGAGACTCCGTGTTAACGCGATGCCGCGTTGTCGCCGGCAGGTGGGAGCTCGCCGTTCGTCCTGGCGCGTCATCTCCAGCATCGAGCAGAAGACGGAGGGCTGCGAGAAGAAACAGCAGATGGCTCGCGAATACCGCCTCAAGATCGAGGCTGAGCTCCAAGACATCTGCAACGATGTGTTGGTATGTCGCCTTATCTTGTACTACGTGACACTACTCGCAAGTTTCTGGTCACGTTTGAGGATTTTAGAACCTCAAATGCACAATTTGAGTTCCTTTTTCCCGTAATTACATCAAAGGAAAGTTTGAAGGAAAAAGGAGCAGAGAAAAGTGTCGATCTTAGATTTCTTTTTTCGGTAAAACAATTACTAGGGCCTGACCGATGACTCGGTCGTTATGAGCCGTTTTAAAATCGGCAAAAAAAATTAAAAATGCGCATTTTTTTTACAACATAGGGTATAAATGACATTTAAACATTCTCACCACCCGGCAAGTTGAACAAATTAAAGGGCAAAGTGTCGTAAAACAATCAGGTGCTCTGCCTAAAATGCAGATCTTAATTATGATCAAAAAAAAAAAGAAGCTATTTTATTGATTATATTTGTGTTCACGGTCTGGGGTTGCGCGCGGTGATGTTTGCGGTGTGTGTGTGCTTACGCTTTGAAGGTCAAGAGGTCGACGTGTGCTTTGTTGTGTTCAACATGACATAATGCGATGTTGTTGAAGGTCAATCCGTGTGTGTGTGTGTGTGCGTGCGCGGGTGTGCGTGCGCGGGTGTGTTTTGAGGTGTGGAAATGCACGCAATGTTGTACTGAAGGTTGGGACGTGCCACTCAAACAACTCTTGTCGTGTACTGTGAATAGCCCCGTCGTTGAGAAGTTTTCACATGGAAAGGAAATGGCCATTTTTAACGGACCGTTGCGGTGCTTGTCGCCTTTCAGAAACTTCTGGACGACTTCCTCATCAGCAACACGAAGGTGGCGGAGAGCAGAGTGTTCTACCTCAAAATGAAAGGAGACTACTTCAGATACCTGTCGGAGGTGGCGTCCGGCGACAACAAGAAGAGTGAGTGAGCTTTGGTCGCCGCGAGATGGTGTCCTGTCGTAAAACGGCCGCCCGTATTCACGTGGCGTCTCGTCGCGAGATCCCGTCGTGAGGCGGCGTCGTGTCGTCAGGCGGCGTCTTGTTGTACGATTGTCTTTGGTCGTAGGAAATCTTCCTGTACCGCAACGCCTTTCTGAACATGGCCGATCTTTGGAAAAGCAACTGTTAATAAGCGGTTTGCGACCGATCAAAGTGTTTGCCACGTTAAAGTGCCACGTGAGAGAAAACGCTTCAGGGGGCCTTTTTTAAAATTATTTTTAATGTACATTCAATACAAGTGGAAGCTTATTTGATCAAAGAAAACAACTGTTCCGGTGCTTGAGGTGTCACGAAAGCAAAAAAATCTGTCGAAATTGGCTGGCAATCAATAGGATCTTTTTTTTTTTTTATGGCTGCCATTCAAAGGGTTAATGGCGCCTCCCGTCGGAAGATGCCGTCATGTCACGGGCTGCCTTTCCCGCAGTAAGATGGTCTCTGTGTCCTCTTCAAAGCTACGGTGACAAAATCCCAGGAAGCGTACCAGATGGCGTTTGACATCAGTAAGGAGGAGATGCAGGCCACGCACCCCATCCGACTCGGCCTGGCCCTCAACTTCTCCGTCTTCTACTACGAGATCCTCAACTCGCCGGATCAGGCCTGTACTCTGGCCAAGCAGGTGAGAATGTCGTGATAGCGACGACAATGGCGGCGGCGGGGGGACGACGTTGCCGTCACCGCTCTCGCCCTCTGACCACCTCCTTTCCGGGGCAGGCTTTCGACGACGCCATCGCCGAGCTCGACAGCTTGAACGAGGAATCGTACAAAGACAGCACGCTGATTATGCAGCTACTAAGGGACAACCTGACTGTGAGTCGACACTCTCGCACACCTTGGGCGCCGCGCCGAGCCTCGATAGACAATTCATTAGGGACACCCTGTGATACAAGGGCCAGCGACATTTAAAAAAAAAAAAAAAATCTACAGTACATTAAAAACCATAACATAAAAAAAAAGATTTTTTCAAAATTCAAAAACACATGATTATACTGTAAAGAAAGTGTGTTGAGTGCATCTGTGAGTGCATACTTTGGCCAGGAAGTGACTGACAGCCAACTTCCTGTGTGTCCTCCCCCCTCAGCTGTGGACATCAGAAAACCAGGGTGACGAGGTGGAGGCCGGCGAGGGCGAGAATTAGTACCACGCACCTTTCCAACCCGACACCTTTGCCATCCAACCTCCGCTCTTACTCCTGTTTCCTATCTTCATGCACACAAACGTTCATTCCTTCTTCGTCTTTATCTTCTGTATAAGAAGCAGCCGCATGACCCCCCCCCCCCTTTCCCTTCCTCTCCCCCCCAGCTGAACCTGGCACTCCACAAGCTCCTTTAGAACCTTCTGGCCCGTCCTATCTCACTGGGAGGTTTTTTTTTTTTCCCTTTTAAATCTTACCACCATTTTCTTCCTACTTCCTTTTCTTAACTTCTTTTCAGCTTCTTAGTCCTGCCCACTGGCTGCTTTTATTCCACTTTAATCCAAACAAGACAAAAAAAGGTTATTAAACTGTGTGTTTATTTTCAACAACGCTCATGACTCCTTTCCTCTCCGTCCCACTTGTGCATACAAGCTCGTGTTTGGCTGGAGACTCAAGGGTGGCGCCAGACACCAAGGGGGGGGGGGGACACATCCAGGTGTCTTGTACACCACAGTACCCTACTGCCTTTGTTCAAGTAAAAGGTTTCAGGAACTACAAGCTCAGACCTTAAGAGTTGGGGAACTAGAAGAATCAGACTCTGAAATTTGGTGGTTGGGGGGGTGGGGTCTGACTCCAAAACTATCTACATGGTTAGCATTAATCAGCTAACACGACCGCAACCCACTTCTATTTACACAGACTCTTGATGTTAGCTTTTGCCAGCTAGCTAACTTGAATGCAGTGATTTACCTTTTCCATACTTTGTTATATTACAGATTTATTCTAAATTGTTTTTTTTACATCAAAATTCTACATGTAACAACCATGACAACATAGTTTTCCCACAAATTAAAAGTCAAATAAATTGCATATGCGCCCTTGAGTGTCTTAGGACCACATCTAAGACGGCCAAAAAGTGCTGCGTGACAATTTGTCATGTTGGACAAATTTCTATAGTGACCAGAGCTGACATTTGATTAAAATTGCATCCTACTCCCTGTGGGCAAGGTGGCGTTTGCTTTCTGAAGTAACTGGTTTATTCGTGGTTGTGGAAATGCTACTTTAGTTTCATTTGCGGGGAGGAAAAATGTTTTCTTTCACTGTCAATTTTTTTTTTTTAATCATGACATGCAAAATCTTTTTAGTTGGTCAACACTTTTTAACCGTTCTTCTAATTCAAATCAAGAAATGGCACATTTGCTTGTATGATGGTTTTATTGCTTAACGTGTGCACGTGATTGTGACTGTTTTGACTTTGCTTGAATAAAACCACAAAATGATTAAAAAAAAAAAACTGATACGTCTGCACCCTCATGGCAATTGGGATAGCCCCGGATCATTTTCTTTCACCTTTTACTTGACAGGGGGACACAAAAAAATGAACAAGAACATTAAACGTCAAAAACTTTTCTGAAATGACTTTTTTTTCCCCCTTGTGCACGACATTATCGCAATCATGTGATTCAAAATGAAAAGGTTTCTTGTGCGAGTTACAGCATGGCCGCCGCCAATGTCACTTCTGTCAGCCGATCAGAAGGCAGATTTTTAATCTGGCAGGAAAACAATATGTGCGATGGCGGGTGTCACGGCAACAAGATCGAAGACGCAACTAGATGGCGACTGTGATGACCAGGAAGAACAAAGACCAGCTATGACACGAAATGAAAGTCTCTGATCCAAGAGCGGATGAGACGAAGTGATTAAAAAAACATGACGAAGTGGAAGGACACGGTGTGAAAGATAAAACGGATATCAAAAGAGGTTGCTTTACAAATCAAAGGCAAGACGCATGCTGACGAGATGAAAAGTCATCAAGCTGGGGGAGCGCAATGGCAGCGCTATGAAAAGTCACCAATGAAGAGTTCAGAAGACGTTTTACAAAAAAAAGAATGAGATAAGAGATTACCAATAGAGTCACACAAACGCTCAAAGACACTACAGAATGAAAGGAAGACAAAAGAGGATGAAAGTGAGCAATGAAAATCCAAGTCATGGTCGAAGACGTCCGTGTCAGCCACGTGGTGGCCGATGCAGCGTTCCAAGACAAACTCGTCGCCAGCGAGCTCGGTTCAAATTGATCTTTGATGACGAATGGCCATCAACAGCAGTGAATGACTTCCATGGTGAAAAAGAGCTCGGAGACACCACGGGGTGAGGACAAAAAGAAGACCGATCGAAAGCACAAATGCAGAAAGCAGAGCAGCGATGAAGAGAAGGAAAATCAGATGGTGACCACATCAAAGATGATCAATGAATAAGCTCAAAGACCACATGATGATGATGATGACGACGACGGTGCTTTCAGGCACTTGGGTCAGAAAGATGGGGACGAGGGGGGGGGGCTGGAAGAGATATTGGCGGGATAACTGTGGTGATTGGTTGTCTTTATTGAGCTAACTCCGCCCACTTTTGCCTTTTCGCCGTGTTTCGAGACAGACAAGCGTCCGGTGGTCACTTCTTCTTGGTCTTGCTCTTCTTCTTCTTCTCCTGCGGAGGTTGTTGTTGTTCCTGCTGTTGCACTTCCTGCAGCAGCTTGATGGCGGCAGTGTTGTTTGGCTCAACCTCCAGGAGCTTGTTCAGGTCTCGGATGCAACTTTTCACTTCCTGAAGGAAAAAAGTAAAATAAAAAGGAAAACTGCTAAGTTAGCTTAACAAGTGGCTAGGTAAGAAGAACGCTCGGGAGGTCAGGAGGCAAGTTGCTTGGGAACTCGGCAGGTCGGATCCCATCTAGGGATCGAAGCACGAGGGCCCGATCAATCTGAATTTTTTGGGCACCGATTCAGATATCGGGCAGAATTACCGATTCATTTTAAAATGACTAAAATAACCTGAACACTTACAACGACGACAACAAAAGAATGCCATTTTTGCTGTACGAGCAGTAACCTGCCATGTTGTTTTCCTTGTGAATAATGACCACGTGCACGCAAAACTGCGACAACATATCGTCTCCCTTGCCGCTTAATGGCCTGAATGAATCCAAGCTGCGTTCAGGGGCGAGCGGAGATCTTCCAGAGTGAGTCCGAACTGCATTTACTGTCTCGCGAGCCGGCAAAACCGCGGACGATTTGATGAGTTCTTGGAAAATGGCTCGATATCGGCCGACGGATTAATCGCTCGGGCCCTGCTGAGCACATCAGTAAGTTGGTAGGCATGCAGGCTGTCTGTCACCTTGAGCTCCTTGTACGCCTGCGCTCGTCGGTAGAGCGCCTTGACGTTGGCGCCATCGATGGCGAGCGCCGCTCCGCAGTCGCCGACCGCATCGTGGTAGCGCTTCAGCGCCAAGTAGCACAATGCCCTGACCACACACACACACACAGGTTATCATTGAAGCTCCGCTAACACGGCCATCTTGTTCGTTCCCCTACCGGTTGGTGAAGGCGGCGGCCTCTTTGCCGTAGTGGAAGATGCTCTGCGTGTACTTTTCGGCAGCCTGGGCGTGCGCCCCTTTCTTAACCAGCGCATTGCCTTCCTCCTTAAGCAACCCGGCTCGCCGGAGATCCTCCTCGGCGGCCAGATCGTGGTTCCGCGCGATGCCGTTGCGTTGCGGCGGCGCGGCGGAAAGTCGCTAAGCGGCAAGGTTTTTAGTTATCAGTTCATTGAAGCATTTTTGTGAACTTAAAATGTGCAATACACAAAACGCTTTCAACAAACTCCAGCTTACGCTTTATAAAGCTTACTGCAACTACAGCAAAAACGTCCTTCGTTTTTGTCTTGGTCAATGAATATCATACGCGAGGCTTTCGGGTTCGTTTCAAATGTATTTTTTGTGATTGCAGTACATTCGTACGGAAGAATGAAATGAAACTTGTTTGAGATTTGTAGTTGATCAGAAAATACTTTTTTTTTTTTCCAAATGTATTTTTCGTGACTGCAGTCCATTCGTACGGAAGAATGAAGGTCAAACTTGTTTGAGATTTGTATCTTGCACTTAATAGAACAGTCCTTATATTTTTAAAAACTAATACAAACAACACGAAAACGAAGCTTTTGACAAAATAAGCACGAAGACAAACTAACAAAAGTGCTCTCAAAACGAACTGGATTCAAACGACGATGGGATCAGCGAGTGTTGGGAATACCTCGACGTGAATATAATATGTATGCAGCGTGTACCTGTTTGCTCCCTCGTGCGCGGCCACGAGGTGCGCGTCCAGTTGCAGTGCGGTCTTGTAGTCCACGTAGGCCAGGCGGTAACGCTCCTGAGCCTCTGAGGCGGCCGCCCGGCGCAATAAAGACTTCACGTTGAACGGCACCAACTCCAGAGAACTGGCGGAAGACCGGGGCAAGCTTGAGCCGGCTCACAGTCACACGCCCAAACTACTTTGCTAGCAAAAAGGATCTGCGCGTTAGCTCGGACGCTTCGATGTCCGTCGAGCGGCGATCCCTCCATCGCTGTCGAAGCACGCTTTGCTAACCGAAGCAGCCGTGCAACGTCACGGCTCAAGAGTCTGGCGGGCCGTTAGCGGTCCACGCTCGTGTGAAAAAACAGAACCGAGATGTTCACTCGGTTCTCAGCCCTTCTTGTCATCGAGAGACCGGACGCAGGTTGGCTTGCGACAGGCGAGTTTGCTCGTCTCGCACGAGCTGTTACTTTTCGCTCCGAGCACAGCCGCGCGCCCGCTGTCGATGATCGGCGGCGTTGCGCTGGGATTGACAATACTCCTCCGATGCGGCCGTACTGTATGCGAACGCCAAAGTTGCCGGCTGGACGTGAGGACGGCAAAAGTAAGCCGTAGTCCCACGGGTCCGTGGTGAGTTTTGGACACCTCGAAAACACTTCTGCGTCCAGCGACACAAAATTGCAGCAAGAAAAAGAAATTCGACTGGGAAGACATCACAAAGGCGCCTGACATGCAACTGGTGGTCATAAATGTGCTTGGTGTGTCGGTGGAAAACTAAAACGACAACATTTTTTGGACATTTTTACTGCATTTTTATGGGTAACAGTTAAAGATGAGCGCAAGCATTTAAGATACGAGCAAACTGTTTTGAGGCCGTGATTTCTGGGGTATTCATGGATTTCAACTATGAATCTCAGCAAAAAAAAAAACAAAAAAAAAACGTTATCACAAATGCTATCACTTTTAAGGAAGCATCAGTTAGGCACAAAAATTCGCTCATCGCCGCCCGAGCGACCTTCCCTATCCCCAGCGAATAGTGAGGGCACGGGGGGCCTTAAGATACTCACAGGTTACAGTCCTTGAGACATTCGGCGCAGTTTCCTTCTTTGAGGTAGCTAGCGGCGCGGTTGGAGTGCAACACGCTCAAATCCTCCACGTTCTTTGGATCTGCAGGCACAATCATGACCACACATCAGGAATCAAGGGATAGCTCCACAACACTCAGTTTGGACTTCATACAAAAGAATTCAATCTGCAAGTATCATGTGACCGATGGCGTTCAAAGCTTCATCCGTCGCGAGTAAGGACAGCTCGAAATGGATTGGTTCCTGCCCTTGCTTTGATGCCAATTTCAGTTTACAATCAGCACCAAAAAAGGGAACGATGTGGGTTTGGTTCGGAAGGAGAGAAGTTGCTAGCTTAGTTGCGTTAGTTACAAAAAAAAAAAAAAAAAAGCAGCCTTCAAGACTTTGGGATCGTTTTGATCTTACACTGCCAAATAAGGTAAGTAAGTAGAGTATTACTCATTTTTTTTCTGTGCATGCCAACTTGCATTTTACTCATGAATATGTTTTTGCTACTCATGCAGAAATTAGCATATAGCAAAAATACCTCGGCCATATCAAAGCATTGGCGTCCGAGGCATGATGAAGATCATGCCCAGCAAACGAACGAGTCTGTCAACGTGGACAGTCTGCAGCTATGCTCCTTTTTCCTGTACGTTAACATAAAATGTGACATGTTGAAATATTTATCGAAACTATGAGAGCGTATATTTTCTTAGCACGGAGAATTAGTGAGTGTTAAAAGAAGCCACCTAAAACCTTCCACTGTGGAGAAATTATTTTTGAATAAAGACTTTCCTGTGCCCTTTTGTCATTTTTGTACAGAAATAATCCCTTTATACGAAGGATGCACACAAGAGCAACACGATGACTTTATGTTACAGCATTTTTATGGAAACTTCGTCCCATTAAATGAATTCTGAAGCACTACGTAAATGCATCGACCAGTGGCATTATTTGTACTTTTATTCTGCCATAGTTTGACCCCGTTTAGTGACGGAGGTCGCTTTGACGTTAAAAGAGTCATCAAGGTTCACCCGCCCATCTCTAGTTGATAAGTAGCCAGGTAGGTAGTAGTAGATACGCTTGGTAAGCAAGCAGCTAAGGAGCAACCTGTGACGCTGTTTGAATTCTTCCTCGCAACAAACGTGCTGCTGCTGCCTTCATGGGACGTCGGGAAAAGTGGCCACTTTTACAGGTCATGTGAGAGAGGCCAAAATGCCTCCCATAAAGCCCTTGGCAGTATTTTCTTTCCATGTGTTACTTTACTTCATTAGTGGTAGTGTAAGTTCAAATAAAATGAAGTATGGCAGTCGATATGGAAGCAGACTTACTCGACTTGTGTAGCTCGCTGATGGCCAGGCTGTAGATGCGGGTGGCCTCTCCGTACTGGCCGGTCTTGAAGCACTCATTGCCGGCTAGTTTCAGCTCGGCCCACTGCTTCACTTTCGTTTTCGAAGTCATTCCGACGTGCCTGTTTTTCGGAGAATAAGAAGCTCGGCACACATGGCAACTGACTTCGATGGGACATTTGTTACAACATCCATATAAAATAACAGTGTCACCGCGGTACATTCTTGAATATTATTTCCACCCATAGTCCCTTCATTCGGTTTAGGTGAAAAGAAACGGGGCCGACTATTCACTGGAACGTGACAGTTATCAAACTCGTTATGTATGAGGACACATTGGTGGGGGGAGCGGTGGGGGGTGTCACTTACTAAACAGATTACTTGCATTTTTTTATTTCCGAAAATGCAAATAAAACAAGACGACGCTTGAGTTAGGTGTTATGTCATGCTAGCGGCTAGCCAATACCGGCGTTTTCTTCCTGAAGCTAAGCTAACAAACTCATGTAAACGGACGGTGGAAGATCAACTAACCAGCACACTTCCGAATGCTTGGTTAAGATGGAAGCTAAGACAACACCGGCCGGCGTGTTGGGGATGTTTGGAAGAAGGGGGGGGGGGGCTCTTTCAGCTTACCGGCTTTCGGACGCGAAGTGGCGGATTCAGCGACAAAAGTTGGCGGGCGGCGCGTAACGTTTGAAAATATCCTTAACTCGCCCACGTAAGCGGCACAGTCATTCCTCCAACGGCCTGTTTTTCGTTTCTCCCTTTTGGTTGTTAGTCTTGTCGTGGTCACGCTGGCGCTGCTTGTGCTAAATCCGGTGGAGGGTATGGTAGTGGGGGCGGCGTGTCCGGAACTCTCCTGCCGGCTGCGCTCACTTGTCTGCGGGGAGGATGACGATAGTCGTGACAGAGAAGGCCGGTGGACGCTGCATTCAAGTTTCCTGGGCAACGGGACTACTTGATGCGACCGTGTTTTGCGTTCAAGGGGACAAATTATGACAATTTTACCTTTTAATTAATATTTGAACATAATAGGACGGACGCCCAGAGACGTTCGCCGACACTTTAAATGGTCGCAAACATTTTTTTCTTGTCGCCAAGACATGTTCAAAATTTCCTGACTCCAGGTCCATCTCTTCCTGAAACTACAGTGAAACTCCTCTACAACGAAACCTACATGGGCGAAAATACCCTCTAGTGTGAAAAAATCTTCATGCATTAACACCATTCCCACTCTCCTGCCCTTCATACAAGGAAAAAAAAACCCTGTTGCGTTCTACGAAATCTTTTTCTCTGCTCTTGCCTCGCGACGAGATTCACTACAACGAAGTTTAATCCAACAGCGACCTCTACTGCTTCGTTCGGAAACGGCAACAGCAACCACCACACTGGTATACACAGCTCCGAGTTTCCTGAACGCAACATACTCATAGCTGCTCTGCCATTGGCTTACCGAGGATCATCCTGGCCTCCGATTGGCCAAGAGGGACCTCACTATCTATGTGTGTCGATACTGTAGCTAGATCCGCGGAAGATAGAGTGGAATGCATCCGATTAGCTGCTCAGAGTAAATTGCTTGTGCCTTGACGGACAGTCAAATAAACGAACGTTTCCTGGAATGCTTTACTTGTTACTGGAGCTTCACTGAGCTTTAGCAGGAGCCGGCGAGTCGCTTATCTAATGCAAGCCATTATTTAAATCAATTACAATGTAAACTACTGCATATAGTTATACAAACCTCATCAAGTCGTACATGTCTTATAAAAGAATATGTTCTTAAAATATCTTCACACAATAAAACTTTTTTTTCTTTCTCTTTCTGAACACCAAGTCAAAAATTTACCTGCAACACGAAACATTGTATATCGTTTCTCAAATTTAAGGTACTGTTGGCGAATTTCCATTTCTGCAATTAAGTTGTCAATACGCCCACATAACCATGTCTCGATATATCACTCGATCGGTATGTCAAAAATCCAATCACAAAAAAACTTCAAACTGACACCTCAAATCTAAGGTAATGTTGAAGACTTGCCATATATAAGATTGTTTACTTTCTACATCTTCATATGGTAGTGTAAAAAAAGAGAAAAACTTGATCTACTCACGCAGTAAGCAAGTCAACAATCAAATCACAAGAAAGCACAACAAATCCCACCTGAAGGTCTTAATGAAGGTCATCCTCATACGATTACATAACATCCCAAATAAACATGTCATGATCTTCTGATTCTCATGCAACAATATGAGTAACAATATGTAACATGTAGTTCTTACTAGAACGTCACTCGACGATTTTTGGAATGTTTTCAACAAAATGGGCAGCCGATTGAACAAAAGGCAATCAGTAATCAATCCCAAAAAAGCACTTCTCCTGCATCGAGGTTGCCGCAGATAATCATCTCAAGTGAAAAATCACGTCAATCAATCATCATGGCCATTTTCAGCTCTTTATTCAAGGTACAGGCGTAAAACATTCTTGGCTGTCACACAAGTGTTTAAAAAAAAAACAAACTAAAAGTGCGTTGGATGGATGGACGGACGAAAAGTCATCCACTCAAAAAGAAGTAAAATTTCAGTAATTTTTTTGTATTGTGCTCACTCATCTTGTCCTAAGCAATCAGACCCTTTCTGACGTCACACCAAGCTCCGTTTCTTATTCCATATTGCTACCCTCTTGTGGCGACATCTTAAAAACACAAAAAAGAAAGCCAAAGAAAAAGCAAACCGCACCATGTGTATCGTGTAAAACGACAGCTCGGCGATAGAACAGCGCCAGACTTCAAGCAGGGTATGATCTGCTCAGTTGCACTTGGAGGGGAAAAAAAAAACCCCAAAACAAAATATAAAAGCACCACGGTTACATAAAATTAAGCATCGACTCCTATATTAAAAAAAAAAAAAAAACCTCCATATGAGCATGATTAGAGCATGAGCAGATTCTTTTTTCTTTTTTTAAGAGAATGATTCATGGCCTGACATTGACTGCATAGCTGCCCTTGAAATCTTTAAAAATGGATGAATGGATGTCAGCCGTCAGCATCTTGAGGCCTGTCCTGTACGGGACAAACGGAAACTGGACGCGGAAGCGGTTGTTGGGAGACAAGTTGGGAAGTCTAAGGGAACAAAAGACCGATAACAAAGTTCATTCCATGCAGTTGTTATGATTGTGTCGCTTTATGTGTGTAACGTCACCCGATTCCGTGTGGATCGGTGAAACTGGGATCGCGGTCAAACTTTTTTCTAACGTTCTACGAGCTCCTTCTTGTGTTTGAAAGGGCTGCTTCAAACCAAAATGGCCTATCGCTGACGTGGGTCATTGAGACTTTTTGGTGCATCCTGTTATGACGCATGTCAACCCAATTTTGTGTCGGTTGGAGAAATTGGTGTCAGGGGCTGATTTTATTCCACTTTGAGGCACGGGTCCTTGTCCTTGAAAGGACTGCGGGGCCTTGGCTGAGGTCTTACTCGGGGATTTCGTTACCTGTGTTCCAACTCCTGCCGCAAGAGTCCGCTTCCCGACACGGTCAGCGTCATGCCCGTTAGGGTCTCCTGCAGGGGGTTCATGAAGATCACCTCTCCGTACGCCACCTGGTGCTGCCGCACAAAACCGTTAACCTGCCACACAAGCAAATCAAGTTCTTTCATCACCATTTCAAGCGGGTCCCCGAATGACAACTGGAAACACTCACAACACTTTTTTTTCCCCGTAGTATTCTTACGCACGTTAGTCGGCTGCACAATTTTACAAGCGCCAAGCTGGATTCTTGTTTTTTTTGTTTTTTTAAATAAGTCACAAGAAAGAAAAAAACGGTCACAATATTACGGAAAGAACGTTGCATTTTTTTTACCCCACCCCCAAAAGACTAAATGTTCGAAGATTATAATCATCTACTTTCTACAAAAATGTGATATAAAGTTCAAGTAATAAAGCTGAATATTTGTCAAAGGGGGCAAAACAGATTTTTTTTTGGTATTTTACCATAACTCCATGTTGTTGTCTAAGATGACAACTTTTTTTCCATAAAAAAATAAATAAATAAATAAAATAAAAAAATTAACTTTTTTTTTTCCTTCATTTTAAAAAATTTCCAGTATGGCCCTAAACAATCTTTTGTCTTTGTGTATTGCCACAACGAGGATGGCACATAAAGGAGAAATACATGCCGACTTAATGGAATGGTTAAAACGTCTTTTATTGATTTTTAAACAAAACAAGTGAGGAGAAAAGGCAAGTTTGGTGTGGTGGACTTACAGTGACTATGACGGGAGGGTCATGCAGTACCACGTCGTCCTCCGCCAGGTACTTTTTGTCGGGATGCTTCTTGTCCGTCACCACGGCCGACACCTTCAAGCTGTCGGCGTACATCATGTGCTTGAGGTACGAACGCACGGGGATCACAATGGGTATTGTCAGCTCTACAATATTTTCCAGCCAAAAAAAAAAAAAAGCATGTTTTTGCTCAATGTGTCATCATAAGAAAGTGCATAAGCAAAATAAAAATACAGATCTGAAAAGCTCTCATCGAGACCTTTAATTTGGCGTCTTTTTTGACGTAAGGCTCGAGGTGGTTTGTCTCAGTTATTTTTTTTACCTGTTCCTCATCAAGATTGACCCTCCAAAAATGTTTTGCTCACTTCATAAAGACATTTTGACAAAATCATTGCAGAACTGAAAAAGCCTACGTCGGGACCTTTAATTTGAGGTATGATACAATGTGATATGTTGCAAATCATTTTTTTAGCCGACTCGATGTAGTTTGCTCGGGGGGAAAAAAAAAAAAAAAAAAAAAGAGGTTGGACTTGAACACAAAGACGATATTTTGAAGAGTTTGACCTCGGAAAGGGTGCAGCGTCCCCTCCTTGACTTGGGACTGGATGGTGGCGACGAAGGTGCCGTTGTAGTGCATCCCTTCCACGGTGATGCGGATGTTGAGCTTCCTTTCCACTCTGCTGTCGCTGCTCATCACCAGCTTCATCTGCACGTCCTTCCCGTACTCTGGTACCGACGTCTGTCCCCGCCCCCACAAAAAAATTGTCATCTCCCTAGTATCTGTGTGATGAAAAAGCGGCAGCGTGGAAGGCAAAGGCAGGAAGCCAAACCTCAACAAGTTGTATGATGAGCTGCGGCAGCGGGCGCGGCGGGGTTGGCGGCGTGGGGGGTTGCGGGGCGCCTACGTCGGGCACGCTGTCTTTGTCATCGCTGATGGCGTACCTGAACACGGCCCGCTCCTCTTCCGAGCCTGAAACACGGCGGCGGATTTGCGCGTCAACCGCGCGCGCGGTTGGCGTACGCGTCCAGGATACTCACCCTCCCTGTGCTTGTAGGTCCTGGTGATGTCCAGGCGCTTGTTGTAGCCCACAGCCTTGGTGGAGACGCTCTTTCCGACTCGCTTGGTGTCCGAGGACATCTTCACGTCGGTGCCGTCGGCTTTGGTCTGAACAAGCGCAGGCACGCGCGCCGTTCAACGAGCGCAACGCGACTTCGAAACGTCAACTCGCTCGTCGGCTTGCCCCTCACCAGCCAGTCGACGCAGTCTGCGTTGACCTCAGCGAAGACGAAGGGGACGTCGTACGGAAGCTGGGTCTCGCCGTTAAAGATGGCCACCAAAGAGGAGGGGCCGCACTGGTACAAGCCTGAGCCGAAGAAAACCAGTTAACGGGTTTGGAAGTCAACAAGTCAGCGGGAAGAGGAAGACAAAGAATAACACAATCGACGGTATGATGACAAAAGGACTGGGACGGCGTGAAAAAGTGTCACTCGAGTCAGTGCGCTGATGGAGAAGCGTGTCCCAATTCTTTTGTACGCCTCGCACGAGATCGAGGATGGACGGCATCGAGAGGTTAAGCGAGACGATGCCGAGGCTGACGCCAAAGACGACGCGGAGGACAACAACGCGGAGGGAGGCCTGACCGTCGCTGGCCTCCTGCGGCGTAGCATCCAGAACCTGCCAGCCGTCATATTTGCCGTTGGCCTTCAGGTCGGGACGCTTCATCCACGACTCAACCCACACGTGGTAGTTCCTGATGGGACAGCATCCTTTTAGGCCATACAATACATACAGAGCTACAGAAAATTTGACACTGAGCACAGCTGTGTGTGTGTGTGTGTGTGTGTGTGTGTGTGTGTGTGTTCTCTCTCGCTCTCTCTCTGGTGAGGCTTTTTTTAACGGCTGTGTTGGATGATGTCATTCAAGGCAACACACAGTAAACGAAGCACAACCCTCGGACGATTGCTTGACCTTCCTTCTTCCGTCTTAACGGCCGATCTATAATACCGAAATAAATCATACTAATCAATCCCCGACGGCCCGGTAAGTCCAGTGGTTAGCACGTCGACCTCACGGTGCTGAGGTCGTAAGTTCGATTCCAGCTCCTGCCTTCCTGTGTGGAGTTTGCACGTTCTCCCCGGGGCCTGCGTGGCTTTTCTCCGGGTACTCATTCCAAAAACATGTACGGCAGGCCGATTGAACGCTCGAAATTGTCCCTAGCCGTGAGCGTGAGCGCGGATGGTTGTTCGTCTCTGTGTGCCCTGAGATTGGCTGGCAACCGGTTCGGGGATGTCCCCCGCCTAGCTGCCCGAAGACGGCTGGGATCGGCTCCGGCATGTCCCCGTGAGGATAAAGCAGATCAGAAAATGGATGGATGGATGAAATGTTTTCCCATGCTCGTTTTAATTGTGTTTTCATGAACTAAGAGTAACCTCGGAACACAGACACACAAATGCACACACCGCACAACAAGGCCCCCCCCCCCCCTTCCACTGACCAGATACTGTCGTTGGACTCTTTGCGCCTGGCCCCCTCATCGGCGTGGTAGACGTCGATGGTGAGGCTGGCGTCCGTGTCGTGGGCCGACACGAAGTTCGAGACCACGCGGGTGGGAATGCCCAGCAGACGCATGACTGAGGGAAACGCCAAACGCATCTCAGCAACATGTCGGGCAACCGGGCCAAGTCTGAAGAAGCTCTCCGGCAAGCGGCGGCGGCGGCGATACGACCTGAACACATGACGCCGGCAAAGACCCAGCACTGGCCGTACTTGACCGTCCGGAAGTTGTTGTTCTTCCACATGGAGAGGATGTCGTGGCTGCCGCTCCAGTGGGACGGCGACAGGCCGCCCTCGAAGGAATCCGACCAGTTGCCCATCACGACACCTCTGTCGTCCGGACTGTTGATCTAAGCGCGCGAGAGCGCCGCGTCAGCGCGTTCGGTCCGGATCCGGCCGCCTCCGCCCGTCCCGGACCTACCATGGCGCTGATCACGCGGCCCACGTAGACCGGGTCGCCGCGGGAGGCCAGATCGCCGGCGGGGTTCTTTCTGTAGTTCAGACTCTTGTCCAGGATGTTGAGGCAAATATCAACCATGTCGTCTTCAAACTGCACAGGAAGGAAGGAAGGAAGGAAGGAAGGAAGGAAGGAAGGAAGGAAGGAAGGAAGGAAGGAAGGAAGGAAGGAAGGAAGGAAGAGGCAAGGGGGGCCGCTTGACATTCACGCTCAATGCAAATATCTCGCTTTGGGACCCGTCCGTCTTTGACGTACCTGTCCAAAGTCCCAGTTGAGAGGTGAAATGTAATTTGAACTTCCTCTGTAGATGACTCCTTGTTCATTCAGCACATATTCTCGTCTCTCCTGCTCATCCGCCAAGAACACCGAGTCTCCTGCATAGGCCCCCGCCCCCAAGAAAAATGTATATTAAAAATAAAACAACAATATATGCAGTTCTGTATGCACTGTCTTGAGTATCAGCAGCACTGACACGCATTTACAACTTGCATCAAATTGTATTCCTTTATTTCCGTGCGTCTATTATCCCCATTTCATAGCGGGTGGAGAGTATATTCAATTTTTTTTTGTGTGTCCAATCCGATTTCAGTTTCCATGTGCTTGCTGCCATCTCAAATAATCTGCCCAATTAAGGGCACAGGAGCCTTAAATTTCCCCAGTGTGGGACAAATAAAAGGATATCTTATCTTATCTTAAATACTGGCACGTGATATAGACTATTGACGGCAGGGGGGGTTTTTTTGTTTTGTTTTGTTCTTCAACCAGTCAGATTTCAGGACATGTCTGCAATTTTCCTTCCTTTGATTGGTCGAACAATGCTCGCGAGTCTGAGATGTGCTCTCTTGTTTTTTATTTCATTTTGCAAACGACACTGCTTTTTCAGTTGCGGTGATGCGTTCGTTTTCGCCAACTATTCTAACCTTGCTGAACCCAATCAGTCACACGACGATGCGCTTCATCCTTTTTGACCGCAGGTACTGAGGGGAGTGGATCAGAAATGAGTCCAGAGACAACACCTGCTTTTGAAGTTGAATTACATGTGCACGCTCATTAGAAGTTGCATCACATTTGGAAAGAGCCCATCTTTCGACATTTGCACTTGCGGTTTATAGTCTCAATATTTCCTTCCGCGCCGAAAGGCCCAAGAAACATCCTTCCGCCTTTACACCGCATGAAGCAGGTCGCTAGGTCGCTCACTATTGCTAACCGGCGAACGAGCGTGGCCGAGGAGCGTACCGGAGAACCAGGGGTTGTAGAGCAGCACCAGCGTGGCCACCGTCTTGTCCTCCCCCCACAGGGTGGCCTTCAAAGCGTACCTGCCGATGGGGGCGTCCGCGGGGGGCGTCACGAGCACCGGCAAGCTGTTGGCCGACGAGCCAAAGTCAAGCTACCGTGGTTTTTTTTTTTTTTTCTTCATTTCATTTTTATATTTCATATTGAATTGTGATTGTTTTTAAACGCATTTATCGAATGAAACAATGAGGTCATTCGATGACAATGAAACCGGAAGCAATGGAAAAACAAGTTACCGGTAGTCACACAACGAATTAGCTACAGTGATTTCGCCATTCTCGTGAAATGATTTGGTGATCTGATTCGCTTTGATTCGTTTTAAATTGGATTTTTCAATAAATCTGCACTTTTTTTCCCACAAATTCATACATACGTCAGAAATGAAGTGGCAAGTCGGACAAGCGAGCGAGCGAGCGCTTACCCCCGGTGGAGGCGAGCAGTGATTTCGCCATTGTCGTGAAATGATTTGGTGATCTGATTTGCTTTGATTCGTTTTAAATTGGGTTTTTCAATAAATCCGCACTTTTTTTCCCCAAAAATTCATACATACATCAGAAATGGATCGGCAAGTCGGACAAGCGAGCGAGCGAGCGAGCGAGCGCTTACCCCCGGTGGAGGCGATGAGGACGAGGGAATCGATGCCCTGCTTGAAAGGCTTGGCCAAGTCCAAGGTGACCTTGAAGGCCTGTCCCCTGCGGACGGTCAGCTGATCTTCGGGAAGCTCGCTGGTGTGATGCTCGTCGTGGTTGCGCTTGGCGTGCACGTCCACGCCCGTGAACACTGACGCGCGCGACAGCAACAAAAAGAAGCGTTAGTTTCTGCTACCTCAGGTGAAAAAAAAATGTCTCTAGTGACTTCAATTCTTAAAACCGTGATTTAAAAAAATATATATATTTTATTAGCAGGGGTATGTACTTGTGTATGTGTGTGACCCCGGGGTGTGGTAATTATTGGGTTGGTGGAGGTTTTTAACTCACACAAAGTGGTAATTAACCTTCATCGATTTTAGTTTCCGGAGGCAAACACTTTGAAGCGTCACTGCTGCTGTCGACATCTCGACAGTCATAGGAATGAATGCAAGGTGACAAAACCAACCTTGGCATGTCTGGCTTGCCGAAGGTCATCTCAGGTGAGATTTGGAGTTTTGCTCCTGAATAGTTTTTCTGCAAATAGCAAAAATCCATTTGTGTGTGCGTGTGTGCGTGTGTGAGTGAGTGTGTGTGTGTGTGTGGGGGGGGGGGATCCTTAAAAAAAAAGCACTGATAAATATTCAACATTTTTTCATGCAGAAGGGAAAAACAAACAAAACAACCCCCCCCCCCCCCCACAAAAAAAATCTATATTTATTCTTAACTGAAAAAAAAGACAATCTGCGGTGCCGAAATGCGAGTATGCAGAATTGCAAGTCTTGAATTTCCATTTGCCCATCTATGGCGTTTTTTATGATACATTAGCACTAAGCTAGTAGACTGTGTGTGTGTGTGTGCGTGTGTGTGTGTGTGTGTGTGTGTGCGTGTGCGTGTGTGCGTGTGCGTGCGTGCGCGAGGGCGTGCTCGTGGGTTTTTCCCACAAATCAGAATGAGTCACATAGCCTTTGGGTCAATGCCGCCTCCTCGCTGAGATAAAAAGTACCAAAATAACCTAGAACAGATCCTGCCATTAAGGGTCAAAGAGTTGAAAAAGAAAAAAAAATCGCAGTGATGTACACATTTGATGGCAAAAATAACAAAATATATAAATACATATATATAAATACTTTTTTTTTAAAATGCATTTAGCAAGGATGGGGGGGAGATAAGAATCTGTGAGTGTTTTTTTTCCCATCTTTCATTCAAGAATGCATGGGTTAAATTAAAACTGCAAACAAAAACAAAAACGAAACTGAAAAAGTGTTCAGTTCCAAGCACAATAAATTGCCCCCAAAGTTGCACAGGTTCAAATGGGAACACTGTAAAATCTATTCATTGAATCCAGTATAGCAAAAAGAAGAACACTGATTCCCGTCAAATTCGCACATTAAAATGTGAGTACGCCATCAAAGGCCTGAAAATTAAACCGACTTGACATTTGTGCTCAGTCACAGAAAGCCATCGCCACCTTGTGCCAAAACTGGATTGCCGACGGGTCGCGAAATGTTCAAATATTTGCCCGGTACATCCAAATTTCCGTCTTCAATCTTTTTTTTTTTCATTGGGGCTCGGAAAGGGCGACTTGGTTTTCGGCAGGTAATAAAATGATTGAGCGCAGCTGAAATGAGTTGGGATTATTTTTGACTCACCCGAATTGTTGAACAGCAAACTCATCTTGGCACGCCGCGTCGCGGTCTCTCGGCAGCACTGTGTTGCACGACGACAGTGAGAGCCAGTTAATACCTGCGAAGCGGAGCGAGCCAGGCACCTCTTATCACTTCTCGAAAGCCAGTCAGTCAGGTTTTAAACACATTCTGCCGCTCCAAATGTCTTCAGACCACACCCCGTGGCATTCGACCAAGCAGTGTCGACATTACATCTTTGTTCTGTCACTGAACAGTGATCAAACTACATTTGTCAGTTGCAAAGCCCGACAACCCTGCATCAAGCACACCTTTAGTCAATCTCTGACCACCTGGGGTCAACTAAGTTTTTTTTTTTTGTTTGTTTCATGGCAAATCAACATTTCTCTGCTCTTTTTTTTTTCTTCCATCCATCTTAAATACATGCTTCAGATTTAGTAGCAATTGGACATCATTTCAGAGAAGAATCTTTTAAGGACCGCTGATAACGTCCACAATGACCCAAAAATGTCCGCTTCAAACCAGTATGGATGACTTTTGTCTTTTTTGGGTGGGGCTTCTTGACACTTTTCGGGGGTCTACTGATGATGATTACATGTCAGTAAGTCCCGTAAGGGGAAGACACTGATTCCCGTCAAATTCGCACATTAAAATATGAGTACGCCATCAAAGGCCTCAAAATTAAACCGACTTGACATTTGTGCTCAGTCACAGAAAGCCATCGCCACCTTGTGCCAAAACTGGATTGCCGACGGGTCGCGAAATGTTCAAATATTTGCCCGGTACATCCAAATTTCCGTCTTCAATCTTTTTTTTTTTCATTGGGGCTCGGAAAGGGCGACTTGGTTTTCGGCAGGTAATAAAATGATTGAGCGCAGCTGAAATGAGTTGGGATTATTTTTGACTCACCCGAATTGTTGAACAGCAAACTCATCTTGGCACGCCGCGTCGCGGTCTCTCGGCAGCACTGTGTTGCACGACGACAGTGAGAGCCAGTTAATACCTGCGAAGCGGAGCGAGCCAGGCACCTCTTATCACTTCTCGAAAGCCAGTCAGTCAGGTTTTAAACACATTCTGCCGCTCCAAATGTCTTCAGACCACACCCCGTGGCATTCGACCAAGCAGTGTCGACATTACATCTTTGTTCTGTCACTGAACAGTGATCAAACTACATTTGTCAGTTGCAAAGCCCGACAACCCTGCATCAAGCACACCTTTAGTCAATCTCTGACCACCTGGGGTCAACTAAGTTTTTTTTTTTTTGTTTGTTTCATGGCAAATCAACATTTCTCTGCTCTTTTTTTTTTCTTCCATCCATCTTAAATACATGCTTCAGATTTAGTAGCAATTGGACATCATTTCAGAGAAGAATCTTTTAAGGACCGCTGATAACGTCCACAATGACCCAAAAATGTCCGCTTCAAACCAATATGGATGACTTTTGTCTTTTTTGGGTGGGGCTTCTTGACACTTTTCGGGGGTCTACTGATGATGATTACATGTCAGTAAGTCCCGTAAGGGGAAGTTTGTTGATGAAGGATCCCTGGAAATGGCCAAGATGACCTCAAATGTTCACTTCAGACCATCGTGAAAGGCGTCCTGTTTCTTCTCAGGCATCTACTCTTGACTTTTTGGGTGGGTCTACTCATGATAGACAGGTCGAGCAAATTTCAGGTTGCTGGCGCAAACTGGCTCCACGGGCTGAATTTGAAAAAGATTCCAGATGGAAACGCTTGTCAATAAAGTATGCCTGGAAATGGTCCTACAATGTCTTCTTCAAATCCATGTGGGAGACTTCCTGTGTTTTCAGGTATGGATTTTTTGAGACTTTTTGTGGGTCTCGTCATATTTGATGAATAAGATGTCATTGAAGGATCTCTGGAAATGGCCAAAATGACCCTAAAATGAACCGCTTAATTCCAATGTGGCTGATCTCCTTTGTCTTTTTTGAAAGATTTTTTTTTTTGGGGCGGGGGGGTGAGTTTACTCATGATAAACATGCCTACCAAATTTCATGTTGCCAAGTTAAAGCAGTTCTACGGCTGAATTAAAAAAATACTGACATATCCAAAAGTGCCCCTCAAACAAACGTGGCAAAATATCCTGTGCCGTTTCAGGCATGGCTTTTTTTTTTTTTGTGGGTCTACTCATTATAGACAATTCTTCCAAATTTCATGTTGCTATCGGTAACAAGTGTCAGCGGCTGAATTTTAAAAAACATTCCCGCAGAAGAAGTTTGTTGATAAAGAGTCAGAGAGAAATGGCCAGACATGGCGGCTTCAAACAAACGTGGCTAACTTACTGTCTGTTCGGACATGATTTCTTGAGCCTTTTTTTGGTGGCTCTACTCACGATACGCTTGCCTACCGAATTTCAGGTCAAGTCCAAAATTCCGTTTTTCCCCAATCACAGCCATGACTCCAACTAGATGTGAATTTCCACCGAGATGAACACAGAATTCGGTGACGTTTTGAGAATCAATTTATTCAGCTGACAAAAAAAACCCCAGCAAATATCAGGAGGCGGGAAAATCTCAGATGCGTAGCAGATGATAAAGAACGATCTCTTCCACTATGTTGTGAATCAAGAGTTAAAATACTACACACACACACACACACACACACACACACACACACACACACACACTAGCTGTCCAGCCGAAGGAGATCTTTTGCTTTTTGCAGGTTGTGGTCCACGGCTCCGTTCAGGAACTGAACCCAGGTTAGTTCGGCTTCACCACAGATGTGACTGGAACTGGTTTGGGGCGGAGAAAGTGACAGACGGGAAGACGACGGGTAAACAACGCGGAATTCGTTACGGCATTGTTGTTTTAAGGCAGATCGAGCTGCAGGCGTCTGGCACGAAGACCAACAATTTTCTCCAACACACCCAAATGTTCCGCGAACTCCACAAATATGCCAGCCACACTTCCTTCACACCTGTTTACACACTACTTCACTGACTCCTGAGCTGGCCCGACTTGAATTCTTGTATTCGTGCCACTGAAATCAGACTTGAAACAGCTCAACTGAACTGGAATTTGAACGCGAGTTAGCAACCGCTGCAGGTGCAGCATCAAACCGGTCGGCGAACGGTTGACGGTCCGCGAAATGCAGGAACTTGTCGAAAGCGTTCCGTGACACCAAAATAGGTTAGGGACCGCTCTTTTATGCCATTTGATGGCACTTTTTTAGAATTAAAACACAGTTTTTAAATAGTACAAAAACACAGAGCAAGAGCAATGCAGAACTCGGAAATATTGTACAAACAGTCCCAACAGAGGACTGAATGCAACAAAAGGTCACTTCTGCCGTTAATAAACACCTCATAATTTCTTCCCTCGCGGTGGACGGTCAAGTCAAGTCCAACTTTATTGTCAAATGTGCTGTATACGGCACAGATGAAATTTCTTCCCCCTCAAGACAACATCCAACAAGAGGAGCCGCCATCAAAAGTAAAGTGAACATAAAATGACAAAATAATGCAAGATAAAATCGACGGTGAAAAATAAAGAGCAAGCGGAAAGCGGCCCTCACCCGATTATGGCGAGAACTTTCTTCAAAAGCGCCGCCAGTTTGGTGACCTGCAAATAAAATGAACACTTAGCACTTCTCCCGTATTGCCATTGCAGACATGATAAGAAAAGTGCAATCTGTAAACATGAAGAGGCCGTCCGAAACACTCAAGAAGGTGCGGAAATGTGCGGCAACTAAACTAAATTTGACAAGATTGTCAGAAAACCTGCCAGGCGGGGAACGGCCCGGGGCACACATGACCACGAAAGGAGCCGCAGGAATTTCTGGCAATGACTGACCGATCCCTACCTGGAACAACAATCTCCCATTTTTGTATTTTTTCTGAATTGTTTCGAAGAACAGAGGAAATTTCTGCTGACAGTCGTTCCTAACACAGCGGAAGCTCCAGAATCCGTTCCAAGTTGTCGTCATTGACATCATGTGCAGGGTTCGGATGCAAAACCGACATCTCAATTTTTGGGGTGAAGAGAGGAAAACTGAAGTTTCTGGTTCCAGGTCACGGCGATTTTTTTTTGGTACTCAGGGCATTCAAGGTTTATGTGTATTGATTGAGCAATGAACTATTTCAAAATGAACTTTTATTGAAAAGCTTCTTTCAAAAAGGTATTTGCGTCTCTCCAAAAGTCCAAAGGTTTCAGGCTTTGTGAATTTAAAAAAAAAAAAAAAAAAACGAATGATGACGAGATAGTCGCTGCATCAAAACACTGATGGCGCTCGGCGAGTTGCGCAACGAAACCTTTTGGACGGGTTTGACATAGTCGTGGTTTGGTTTTGCAGGGTTGGGAGATTTCACCGTCAAGACGGTGGCGTCATAGGCCTTCCACGACGAGGCGTGGCTCCATTTTGACCAGATGGCGCCTGACAGCGCGTGTATTTGATCAATCCATCAACCAATCAAACTTTATTTGGAGAGCACTTTTCTTACATTCAAATGCAACTCAAAGTGCCCTGCAATTCAAACATCAGAAATACAACATCAAAAGCGGACCGTCCCGCGACGCCCCACCATACGCAGATACATATCCCCACAAGCATGCCCGCGCTCCCTCGCACGCACACACACACACACACACACACAAAAAACAAGTACACATAACCTGATGAACTACATTTAAAAAAAAAAAACATGTCAAGGCAAAGAGGAAGCAGCTCACAGCGTGTGCTTTAAGCCTCCTCTTATTAAAAAAAATGAAATATAAATAAAAAAAACAGTCTCTGCGGACCTGATGTCCTCTGGCGGGGCCGTTCTGTAGCTGGGGACCAAAATGGCCGAATGCAGCCTCATCGTGTGTTCTGGTCCCCACCCTGGGAATAATCAAAAAGGACGTGGGGATCCGCGAGGGGAATAGGAGTCAAGCAGTTCAGATAAATAAGAGAGCCCGAGACCCTTAAGACATTTAAACACGAATAAAATCTATCTTGAAACGGGGGAGCCGTTGCAACGATTTTAAAAGCGGTGTCACCCTTTCATAGAAAAAAAAAACAAAAAAAAAACCAAATAACATGATTCAAAAGATATGCTTTTTGCTTCATCCACCCCCCCACCCCCATTCTGGGATTTCTTCGGAGTCCTCCTGAGAGCAAATGTTTCTTTGCAGCAACTCGTAGACAATGTGAAAAGAAGTACTTCCTCTTAGAATTGCTTTGCCTATTTTGTTGA